TATAAGCCGAGATTTTCAGCCCATTTTTTTGGGTGAAAAGTGCCCCCCTCGGCTTATACTCGAGTCAGCGCCAGCGCGTCTTCTTACTTACCTCGCCGAGCGTCGCGTCACTGCTGCTCGGTGTGCGGCGCTCCGAGCGGGGTCATCTGGCAGTCTCCGGCCACCTAAATTAGGACCCGGAGACTGCCAGATGACCCCGCTCGGAGCGCCGCACACCGAGCAGCAGTGACGCGACGCTCGGCGAGGTAAGTAAGAAGACGCGCTGGCGCTGACTCGAGTATAAGCCGAGGGGGGCACTTTTCACCCAAAAAAATGGGCTGAAAATCTCGGCTTATACTCGAGTATATACGGTATGTTAATGGTATGTCTGTAATTTGATGAACCAGTAACAATGTTAGATACATTTTCCACTATGTAAATTTATAAAATGCTTTTGTTTTATTCACTTAGATTGTCCACAGAACACTAGCAGCAATGTTGGGCTCTTTGGCAGCGCTGGCAGCTTTGGCAGCTGTGGGTGATGTAAGTTAACGAAAACTATTAGGATTTGCAAACTTTAAGAAAAATAATAAAGCGTGTCACCTAGAGAAAATAAAGCGAGTCTCCGAGTACCAGCAGACATTTTATGAATGGAACGGGTAGATCTACTAGGATCTAGTAACTAGGATGAATGACTGCCTGAAAATCCAAGTTGCTCTTGATCGACATATTCTTGATCTGTAGACATTTTGGATTTCAGAGTCTGTATTTTTTACTTTAAACGGTGGTTAAACATGTGCAGCTTTGATCTCTATTCTAGATCTCAAGAAATCTGGATTTCTGTAGATTCCCTACCTTTTGGTTTATCTGTAGGGCACATTACTATAAACACTTATTTGTTATGCTGTCATTAAGTTTTGCCAGTAACTTGCAAATGTCTGTTTGTTCTTTGCAAAGTATTACTTACAGTAAGAGATGCAGTTCTGGATGGGTCCATAAAATCAGTGCTGCCAACATTTTAGGTATCCTGTGTAATTATGTTTTTTAAGGTAACTGACTTGGGGGACATTCTCGATTTTTACTAATTTCAACATGAAAAAGAAGTCATCAACTTGCACAAAAAGATCGATTTGTTTATGGACTATATATGGATAGTATCAAATGAACTCCAGTTATACTTGTAATTACTCCAGAGAAGATGTATGCACCGATCCTGCAGCCTGGTTGGTTGGATAGGGAAACATCCATATAACAGCACTGTAAAGAAAACATAGAAAACCGGCGCACCGATCTAAGTGCAGTATAAAGTGACTATTTAATAAGGGTAAAAGTAATGCACTTACAGGATATTAAAAAACATCTCGCTTGTCACGCATCAGATGAAAGTCCCATCTCAGCTGCTGGTCCGAGATTGCTATTAGGGTAGGGAGAAAGCAGAGTCCAGTTCAGTCCAGAAAGATCCCAGGACGCCTGTGCTGGAAGACACAATTCTGATCCAGTGGCTGAGCACTGCTGTGGCTGGTTCTCCTCAAAGCAGGGTCACAGCTGCTGAGTACTTCCGGGTCGTCAGGTGTCGGGTGTTGCTAGGCAACGCGTTTCAGAGGTTCACCTCCTTTGTCAAGCCTAAGGGTGGAGTGGGCAGAGTCCTTTATATAGGGGAAGGGGGGAAGCACTGAGCGCTTTGGCGCCAACTAGTGGGAGGAAACCAATAGTGGTAAATAGCTGCCAGGAATGCATCATAGAAGTGGTCGGCAACAAAAACATAATAGTAATAATATTAAAAGATTTAAAAATTAAAAAATGATCATGATAAAATAACGATACAACTAAAAAATGTTTAAGATAGTAAAATACCTACATGGAGCAAGAGAAAATTAGTCAATCATTGGTGAAATATTGGTAAGGGTCCGAAAGCATGTACAGTACGCATGGATGTAGATGCATGGTATGCATGTACACTGCGCAAAAGGTGCAAAAAGAATCTTTTTAGATTTGGGGAAAGATATATGTTTACATTTGGGGGACCTATTGAGGGGATATTTATTAGGAATGTAGGCCACATTTATTACAGTACGCATAGATGTAAACGCATGAACAGGTGTGAACACTATGTGAGAGAGCAAAAAGGTGTATTCTTTGAAATTTGAGGAGAAGATAAGGGGGGCATAATGCATGAATCTTTATTGCATGTATGCAAGTTAATAGCAAAATGGAGGGCAACATGCGTGTGCAACGCACTTGGATGAAAGTGCATATGTATGTATGTGCATCGCACAAAAGTGCATGATCATAGGATTGTACTGACGTCTAGTTCCTCATTTAATCCATTAGGGTTTAGTGTATTTAGTGTATAGATCCAGTATTAGTGTATTTAGTGTATAGATCCAGTATGTCTCCTGGTTCCACAGTTTGCGAAATCTTTCAGCAGGGGACATACTGCTAGGGATGTGTTCAATTGCAAATACTGCTAGGCCCACTGTAGATTTATTATGTTTGGTGGCAAAATGTCTTGGTACACTGTGGTCCTTGGAGCCCTGTTCTATATATCGTCGATGTTGTCCAAAACGACAGCGTAGTGTCTTGGTGGTGCGCCCTATATATAGAAGGCCACAGGGGCAAGTTAGACCATAGACAACAAATTCTGTAGAGCAGTTTAGAAACTGGGTAATGGGATATTCTTTCCCCAAACTGTCCCAGAAGGACGATTGTCCATGTGTGATGAATGCACATGTTTTGCACCTCAATTTTTTACATTGGAAGATGCCTTTCAGATCTCCATAAAAAGACAGGAGGGGTATGTGGTCCTTATCTGCTTTAATCTTGCTAGGGGCTATTTTATTCCCTATGTTTGCGGCTTTTTTAAAGATGACCTCAGAGTTCCGGGCCTAGTACAGGATCCTGTTGCAGAATATGCCAATTCTTTTTAAGGATTCTTTTAATGTGCCCATGCTGAGTGTTATATTTTGTTATGAATCTAGGGCCGGTATTACTATGTGGATTCATTTCCCGAAGGGGCTTAGTGGATGAAGATGGGTCAAGGAACTGACTAAAAGCATCCTCTATCTGGTCTATAGGGTAACCTTTCTGTAACCTTTTTACTAAGAGTGTGTAGTTGTCCTTTAAAGAAGGTAGGTCTAGATTGCCTGTGCTGTCTGCTTTCTTGTAAGGTAATAAAAAGGTTAAAACTGGGCTGCCCCAATATCTGCAACAATAGCGTTTACTAAAAGATCGTGTCATCCTTTTTAAAGCCATTTACATATTTGCAGTGAATTAATGCAAGTGCATTATTTTGCATTATGACCTCCATGGGGCTCTACTATGCAAGCACAGCAAGGAGAAAGAGCACTTGCAGCAAGGAGTGTACACAATCGCTTCCCTGCAAAAAAGAAGCAGGAGCGAAAAGATAAGTGCGTGTTCTTTTAAAGTGCACTTATCCCTTAGGGAAACCCATTCATTTGAAAAGGTAGTAGCTTGGTCTTGGCCTGAAGTTTGTTGGTTTCTCCACACAGATTTGGTAGCAGCAAAATCCAAAATCTTAGTCAGGAGCTGAATTTACAGGCTGACAGTTGTCTTAACCCCTTCGTGACTGACGACGTACAGTGTACGTCGCCAGCATCGGGGCTGTTTAAACAGACTCCCGGCGACTTTTGCCGCCACTTTTTCTATGAAGGCTGTAAACATTTGGATTCTGGAGTTTGCAAGTCCATGGGTGTCCTGTACCCTAACCCTCTCTTTTCATAGCTCAGGCAGCTATGAAACTGCATAGTTCTAGACTGGCTAGGCGGGCTCAATTCAACCAGTGGCTTCTTCAGGGGTGAGCGCTACACGCCTAAAACTTGCCACAGGTTAAAGCCTGATTTTAAAATCAGTTTAATATTGTTAAAATCCAGAGATAACTAGAGGATGTAGGAAAACACATTGATAAATGTTTTAGTGCTGTATTCACCTTCAATAGCAGCAGAAATCCTTAGATAGCAGTGGTCCTCAGTCAGTGGACCTGTCCCCTATATTTGTGTGTGAGAAACGATATTTCTGCAGTGGTGCAACACCTCCCCCGCCCCTGCGGAGTTACCCCTAAAGCTGTGCAATCAGCAGGGAGAATGAGCTTTGTTTATTGCATAGTTATGCAACCTATGACCTAATGAGTAGTGTTGGACCTCTATGGAGACTGCTGCTTACACATAGATATCAGTGGTCCTCATCTGAATATGTTTTACTGCTGTCGGAGGTGAAAACATTAGCATATAGCAATGTGTATTTTCCTGCTACCTTTAATCATTTCTTTAATTTAACATTTCAATTGGGGTTTAAAATACATTTCATGAACTGCTAACTCTTTCTGAACTAGTGGTATGCAGACAAAATGTTTGCTAACCAATGGGTCTTGTTACTAACGGCTAATCAGATGTCAATAGAGTTTAGTAGAATATTCCATCTCACAGAAAGCATGTTAGCTAAGCAGTGTTGGTATTCAGAAATTACTGTTCTTTGCCACTCATGTTTGTCTACCAGTACTTGCCAAATGGAGTTTTCAGAATCCATTCTGCAAAATGTACTAAATAAGGCTGTAAGCATATTCAATCTCATTATTCCTTAATTATATTATCACCCAATATAGTGTATTGTGGTAGTTCCAGCACTTTCATATTGTATAAAACATGGCTTAAGCTGAATTTTTTTTCTTTAAACAGAACTTAAATGCACATTACGTTTTTTGGCAATGAGCTTGCATTACATGTATAGTTTAAATCCACTACATTTATACAGATTGGTACCTTTTTTGTGACCATTTGTAAGCCTTTTTGAATAGAAGCAATAAAAGTACCAGATGTTCTACAACACACAGGGAAATTACAATTATTAGGTAGCACTTATACATTAAAGTTAGTTTTTTTTCTTTTTATTAGAAAAACCCTTAATGGAATTCAATAATGACATCAAAGAAAAGCTTCAATTAAAAGCCATTTTTTTTCATTAGCTAAAATTAGAAATATGGAGCCCATCTACTGTGCTAAAGACAATTTAGATATTTTTACTTTACATTTGATTAGTTTATATGTGATAGTGAATAAAAGAAATGCATAATATAATTTGCCCTTTTTCCTATGGATAAGCAACTGAGGTTGGCATTAAAGTGAACCTGTTAATATGGCGAACATGGGAAAGCATAGGTTCACTTTACGGATAATTTAATTTATGTTTCTAAATATGTCCATTATAAATGATTTTAATAGAATATTAGTTGCGTAAGCTGGCCATACAGCTGACCACAAACAGCATGGATGTGGGAGAATCTTCCCTGCTGTGTACTATTGTATTCAGACAGCCAGTGACTGCATCTGTCACAATACTAAAACAGTGACTACAGCTGATGAGGGAATATAGGGTGAATCAAGCTGTTGAAAGATAATAATTTGAGTGCTTCTCCTGTGAAATATGAGAATAAATTGTTCCACAGTGTCTGCAGGTATAGAGGTCTGTAAATGCTTGCCGTCAAGCTCATGTACTGCTGGTTAGGAAAATGGAAATGTAAAAAACGCAAGAAAAAGTAGAAGAAAAGTAGGTGCAGAAGTCCCAGGAGACAACTAGTGTAGTAGTTTATATGGTATGGTGAAATTCCATTTTGGTAGGTGATGGTACAAAAAAACAAATACTCGCAAAGATGTGGTTGTGGGATGTCCCGTTGGGGAAATCAGGCAACCGAATATGTGCAGGAAATATACCTGTCCCTGCGCAGAGGATTTTTCATTGTCAGATCTCGGTAGTGGAGGGGGTGTGTTGGGTTCAGGCTTGGGAGTCCCAGAGTGCTTGCGGTGGCAGGCAGGAAAAAAAGTCCGCAATAGCAGAGGTGCTCAGAAACAAGACCATTAGCAATCTAGGCGGTTCTTCAATCAGTAGGTATCTATTGGATAATATATTGACGTAAAAACACTTATGTTGTTATTTTTGGGGTCTCTTTTTTTCCCACCTGCCACAAGAAAATGGAAATATTTAAGTAGTCTGGCAACAGGTTCACTTTAACCCCTTCGTGACGGGAGACGTACACTGTACGTCCAGCCACAAAGGGACCAAATGACTCGTCACGTACACTGTACGTGACGAGTTATTTGCTGCTTTAGAGGGCTGGTAACCACTGAGAATCAGCTTTTACCATTCATTAATGGATGCCTAACTTTAGAGGCATTCATTAATGAAAGGGTTAACCTTTTTCAGACACCCGATACCTTAATATCGGGTGTCTGAGAGTCAAAGCAGAGCGGACACACATGCCGGCTTTTGCCGGCATTCTGACAGCTCGTATAGATCTAGAGATATCTCTCTCAGATCGTATACTGGTTTTTTATTTTTTATTTCACTTTCAGGAATAGATAAATAATGTATCTATTCTTGAAAGAAGAATGTTTCAGTTTGCTGATCATTGTTGCAACAATCAGAAAACCTTTAGTGACAGCTGAATCCTGAACTGCTGCAGGATCAGTGTCACTAACTTATTATTGGCTGTTCTGAAGTTTGAAGCAGCCTGATAATAACCAAAAATGTATTAATTTATCCATCAGTAATAGTGAGATTAATTCACAATGACTGCTTGATATAATTACATAAATAAAATAACATTTTTAAGTTTAAAAAAAGTGAAAAGTTTAAAAAAAAACGTGTAAAAAAAAAAAGGGACAAATGAATGTATTTATTGCATTTTTCTAGTAAAAAAAATACTACAAATCAAAACTGGGAAAACAGTGTTTTTTTAAAGTTTTTTTTCCTCTTTTTTTTATATTTTATTTGTCCTAAGTAGGCGTTAGACACACATATGTGATATAAATATGTAGCCATATCTGTCCTCTAAAAAACAATATATAATATGTGTGGGTGCAAGGGACAAGACAGAGCACCTCCATAGTGTAAAAGTGTAATTTATTTGTACAACACGCAAATAAAAATTTACTTACAGGAAAGTTGGTGGTTAAAAGCATACAAATGGTGATGAAGTATAAAATCTCTAGCAGCGGAAGTCTGAAGGAGTACAGCACATCAGCATCCTCTGCCCCCTTGAGTTCTAAGGGGAACAGAAACTAAAAACAAGCTCAGTCATGAAGGGGTTAAAATGAAGAAGACAAGCTGCATGGATTGAGAACAGAGTGTAGAGGTACACAGTGGTCACTAAAAGGTTATGCAGGAAGAAAGTGGCCACTGTTTAATTGGAGTGCTACACATTTTTATGTTGTGCCAGACTAAAGGTGCCCATACACCTTACAATTATCTGCAGATTTTCTGTGGTCAGATGGAAAAAGTGCAACAGATTGGCCCAGGTGCAGATTACTCCATCCACACAGTTAAGTGTAGATGGAGGAATCTGTTGCACCTTTTCCATCTGACCACAGAAAATCTGCAGATAATTGTAAGGTGTATGGCCAGCTTAAGAAAGAGACAACTGTTTACTGGATATAATGGATTCATATTACATCTGCTATTGAAGAAAAATATTGTTTGGTTTCTTCAAATTAATAAATATGTAACAGATTAGATACAATTTTTACTACAGCAGGATTCTTTTGAATTAAAAAATAACTGAAAAGCAGTAGAGTGAAATATACACAAAAGAAGAAATTAGTCTCCAAATGACCATGAACAAGCTACACTGGAAATTATTCATTATATAATTACCATTTATTAATGCATATTTGAATTGTTGATTATTAAATGGAGTGAATCTTTTGTGCAGCTAATCATTATATGGGTAATTAACAGCCATACTTAACACATTGCTTTGTATTTTGATTGCAGAGACCCAGCTTGGTGAAAGTGGTGGAGTGGATTGATTATGAGACGCTGGCACTTTTGTTTGGAATGGTAATTGCATACCTCCAATTTTTAAAAAGATGGTTGAAGTAGCTTGTATTTTGATGAAGTGGAAACTTTTTAAATATTACTAAAACAGTCCTGCCTAGACGCCAACAAATTGAGAAAGTTTTAGGCCAATGTATTACTTTTAACTTTAACTGGTACGTTCTTAGAGTTTGTATGCAAGCTTGGCCACCTTTTGATTTAATTGCATATAGGACCTCTAAAACCATGTAAGGGGCCTCACACTCCTGAAATTTTCAACTTACAAAGATAAGACCAGTGGAGTTCTAAAAGGAGCCAATGACACAACACTGTGAATTATATTCTTAAAAACATGATTTTAAGCTAGTCCACCTTGAAGAAAGTCCTTTTTAATGGAAGCTATTTTTCTCAAATATAAGACTTGCAATTTAAACCATGGTAAATCATCCAGCTTAGTTATACATAGAAGTGAGACTCTGGTCCTACTGCTCTTTGTGCTTGGCAATACAGTACCTGCAATACAACAAGAGAGAATACTTCTCATTGAATATCTATATGACAAAGTACCAGGTTTCACCTGTAGGTGGCAAGGATGAAAGTGAATTTCAGCTGTCTGTATTAGAAAAATCTATATGTTCTGGGTGTGGGAGAACCCTTTGCATTGTGAGCTGGCAGGTAAATTCAGGATTTTCACTGGAAATATTGTTTAAAGCCAGCAGAGATTAAAATTAATGTAAACCCCCGAAATATAAATGTATTTTATTGCAGCGTATCAGCCTTTAGATGTGTTGACTGCATTAGTTTCCCCTTTCCTTTCCAGGCTTTTTCCTTTGTTTTCACTTGATTCTGCTAGTAGATGATTTTATGACCGGTTTTTCTGTTCTTGGAGAAAATGTACTTGGCCTACAAATAAAGAACAAAAATGCAGCTACCACATTTTAGGAGACAATTATATAACATTTTTGTTCTTGGGTTTAGACATACTTTCAAGGACCCGTTGAAAAGGTTGGAAATGCTTCAGAAATGTTGGGATTGTTTCTTAGACATGACCATGTACCCAGAATGGTACTTAGTATTGCAAAGTTAACTTGGATGCTCAGTGTTTACGGTATAAATATGGCTTGATTGCTTTGTCCAACACTCACTGCACAGCCTTTGTGACTTGACATGTACACCAAGCGGCTGTAAAGCTACTGCAGCTTGTCTGGTTGATCCAGCACTTATTATATAGCTATTGTGGCTTCATTATTTAATCCAGCATTCTCTATACAGCTATTATGAATTGACTGCTCTCTGCTATACTGCTAATACAGAACTAGGCCTAGCTAACATCAGTGTAAGGTGGAGTGATTTGAAGAGGGGAGGTGCAGTACAGCTGAAGAGACCTAGGAAAAGGTTCTGCCAGCTAATGTGCTTGTAGCACAACTGATCCCACAACAGAGGATCATGGTGAAGCTTTGTCAACACTCCAGCCACACATTGGAACCATATGCTTTAGGATAAAGCCATGAATAAATGTATAAATTGAACTTTACACTGGAATAATAAATTAACATCCCTGAACTTGTAAGCAGTAATGCTAAGGTAGCTACCTGTTCATATTATATAAAGGGTCCGATGTCATTGAATGATTTATAAATGTGAGGAAAATGGGAAAGGTCCCGTATGACTTTGGGAAAATGTGGTTGTGTGTGTAGTATGTTCTGTTATGTGTAATATGTTGTTTTTATTTTGTGAAAAATCTGGCTGGTAGTGAATACATAACATGTAATCACTGCTTTTTGTTTGAACGCATGCTCTGATATAGTGATCTTTAAGAGGTACTAGAGCATATTCTATGGTGATTACATTGTAACAATACACCTTTATACTTGCAGAACTCCAGTTTTCCTGATGGCAGTAAAGGATACATAGTTTTACACAATGGTGTGGTTATTACAAAGCTGAATGTGAGCCTTATGCTTCCCAGATGGTATCACAATAAAACATAAATAAGCAAACAACTGAGAAATCCAGCTGCAAGAAAAGGATTTCTTTTTGTATGGCTCTTGGGAAGTTGTGAAGACTTTGGCTACCATTGTAAACACCCATTAATGTAAAGCTGTGTTTGTGTGTAATTTAATCCAGTGGTGCCCACCCAGAAATAACAGTTGTGGGTGAAGTTGGCCTCAAACGCCACAGATGCCCCCTCAAAGTAAAAACAGGGAGAATAAAAAAACAAAGCTACCCAAATGCCCATTTTACTCCCTAAATCTGTTGCCATGTTGAATGAGTTAACTGGCTTACTACCTGCTGCACAAAACATTAAAAAAAATAGAATGGATAAGTGAGTTGTGTGAAGGAGGGGTAAATAGGGTTTCATTTCTGCTCAGAGATATTGTATATAATCTTTAAAACAACAATAAACTTTTAATACATATCAAATAATTTCTATAGCACTGAGGGAAATCTAAAGAGACAGCACAACAGAGCCGATTTGCTTTGCATCTGCTTTTGTCTGATAAAAAAAAACAGCCCTCTGATCAGGGATAAGTTGCAGCTATGATGACTCATTTAAATGGTTTAAAAAAAAACTATACTGTACTTATATTGTAAAAAATGTACAAAATCACATTATAGTCCCTAACTGCAAAAAACAAAACACATTTGGATGAGCTAGTTAAGTTGCTCATGTATTTAAGACCTCTCCATTATGTAGTATATTTTAAAAGATAAAGAAAAGACAGTAAGGTCAAGCAGTTCATAATATACTACTTTTCTATAGTCTTATTCAGAGTAGTTAAATTTAAGAAGAATGACATTTTAGAAGCTCTTATAATATTTAAGAAAAGGTTAAGACATTATGAAGATATGCTCAGTGCTAAAATTACACTTAATATGAGGTAACGCCAAATAACCCAGAAGCATGCAACTCTCATAAGATCAGGCATTTTATATATCAAAAACAGCGTTACAAGTTTTATTTCTGCATAGATAAAGGGTGTTCAAATGTGATAACTTTTTATGAATGTAATAGAAGTAGTGGACGTTAGTGTGTCTTCATATGAAAGATTTTTATTTGATGCTTCAGCGAGCATTGTGCTTTCATCAGGTTAATAGATTTAGGCAAACAGCGCTTGAACTAGGTCATGTGAACTACAGTGGCTGGACGTATACAATATATTTTAAAGTACTTTGGAATATATTTAGTTTGGCCTTAAATTACATACTCAAGTCAGGGATAGAGATCTTATCTCGTGTCATTTCTTTAAATAGTGGATCTTGTAGTTTGACTGGATGCCACTTGTAAGTGGGAATTATCTTTTAATTAAAAAAGAAACAGTAAAATGCTCCAAAGCTTTAAGATAGATGACAGGGCTGGTTTTAACAGACTTCTGGCAGAACTGAATTTTACAAATGTTTTACATGTTAGGTGAGTATCACTGTATAAACATCTTTTCTGCAAAAATATTTTATTTACACGGCAGTTAAAATTTCCCATCTCCAAAGAAGAATTTATTTCAAGTTGCAGCTTTCTGCTATACAGTGCTATTCCTCCATGTGGTTTCGCTTTATAATAGGTTAATAACAGTATTATTGATGGAGATAGGCATATCAGGCAGATGAAAGTTAGTACAGTAACTGTTTCAACTTTTTTTCTTCACTATTTGTAGATTATAGTTATATTAAATGGTAATTCCACTTTCCCAGGTGAATTTGGGAAAATTGAATTACCTTCTCCAATGT